TAGAATTCAAGTTGGTTGGTTGAAGTGGAGGAATGCTTCGGGCCTTTTGTGTGATAGAAAAGTACCGCTAAGACTGAAAGGAAAATTTTATAAGATGGTGGTGAGACCTGCAATGCTCTATGGCGTTGAATGTTGGCCTTTAAAAGAGAAGCATAATAATAAGTTAAGTGTTGCCGAGATGAGAATGATTAGGTGGATGAGTGGCTTTACACTTAGAGACAAAATGCGGAATGAATATATTCGTGATAGGGTTGGTGTAGCTCCTGTGACAGACAAAATTAGAGAAAGTCGCCTTAGATGGTTTGGTCATATTAAACGTCGACCATTAGATGATCCGATTAGGAGAGTAGATGTTTTAAATTCGACTTGTGTTAAGAAAGGCAGAGGTAGACCTAGGAAGACTTGGGCTTATTGTATTAAAAATGATCTTAATTTACTAGAACTAAATGAAAATATGACACAAAATAGGACGCAATGGAGAAAAATGATTCATGTAGCCGACCCCACGTAGTGGGATTAAGGCTTTGTTGTTGTTGTTGTTGTTGTTGGATGTTTCTCTTGAAGCTGAAATTTTCCCATCAAGCTGAATAACATCAATTCCAATGTATTTACACATCTAGCACCAAAAAATAATTTTTTTTTACATGTATACCACCCAAATCTCTCATACCACTTACAAAAATATACTTTCATGCATAGATTGGTGGTATGCATGTGAAAATCGAATTATGCTAAAATTCAATTGAATCAGTTCCCAAGCTCTTTTAAGTACACATTACTTGTCCCCTTGCTTGAATTCCACATACATCCTATTTGCATTAAAGAGAATAATAATTATCATAAAGTAACAATCTATGTTAAGTAAATACCTTTATTTAATTCAAAAAAATCAAGCTAATGGCTTCCCAACTGCAAAACCCGTCCAAGCTGCCATGACCCAATCATCAGAAATTAGCATAACAGAACTTCAATCACAGAAGAACCCATGTAAGCTATTTTCCATGTGTAAACAAAGAGTTGAGATAGTTTTCATTGAAAGAGCTTCCATTAGAGGCCCAGAAACTAATGTGCTTTATTTGCAAATTAAAGCATCAATAATGTATTAATACATGCCACTCGACTTCAATCCACCATCTTACTTTCTTGGTAAACAAATCATAGCTCAAACCACTAGAAACGCCTAATCAATCTAAATAAATACTTAAGTTGCTAGAAGAACATGTAATAAAAAACTGCATAACCGTTTCTACACCCTTGCAATGAATGAGACTATTCTAACAGACGCCAGAAAATATAAGAGCTTAAGGCCTTCCTAATAGAATGAATTTTTGTAACGGTTGGAAAATATGGTATATAAGCAATGTTTGCAATTCATTTAGTCTAAAAGATACTATAATAATGTTGGTTAAGCTTACAATAATGTTGTTGAGCAATAGAAGACAGTTGGGGAAGTCGTAGGAGAACAAGAACTTGATCACCCAATTTAAAACCTAATTCTCGGTTGTTAAACAATAAAACCACTTTTTTGAAGTAGGCACAAGGAAAGTTGAAGCTCAAATCGCACACATTTTGCTATGTCATCTCACACCACATGAATCTCCATAACAATAGAAAGGTGGAATTGACATTGAGTGATATACTTTCAGCAAAACAGGACAAAACATAATATTCAAAAAGGGTGTTATATAAAGCCTATATCATCACAATTCTATATAGCTTTGCATTCTTATATATGTGATACTATACTATTAACAGATAACTATTTTATCATGAATCATAAACTGCTTGATGGCAATAGAAATGGATTAACGTAAAAAAACTTGGAACCGGTATCTTACTTTCTTGGCAAACAAATCATAGCTCAAACCACTAGAAACACCTAATCAATCTAAATAAATACTTAAGTTGCTAGAAGAGCATGTAATAAAAAACTGTAAAACCGTTTCTACACTCTTGCAGTTTTTCAGCTACCACTCTTGATTCTGAAAAATTATTTTCAAATCCTGCACTCTACCAAATTTTAGCTTCTTCTTTGCATTATGTCAGATCACAAAGCCTGATATATCCTTTGTTCTGAATTGCATTTGTTAAAAAATGCATAAGCCGCTTGACAGTGACTTCTAGATGCTCAAACGCATACTTCACTATAACTCCATTATCAAGTAGGGAGAAGAGAAAGAAAAAGAAAAAAAACCACATACAGAAAATCTAACAGCCGCAACACCTAGAACAAAAACAATCTGAATGGGTAGAAATTTGCATAATTACACACATATTAAGATTCTGCCAAAGAGAAGAAACATAAAAACCATTTCGCGAATTTTTTTTTAAAAAAAATATGTTTCTTCATTGATAAGTAGACTCGTTCCAACCAAAACCTACACAAATCTATGGAAAAAGACCAGAGAATGCGAGGGGAAGCAGTGTTTCAACTTGCCACAGACCGTGAGAAAGGGGTGAACTGTACCTGTGAGTGACGATGGGGGGAGGAAATCATCGGATATTGAGAGTGATCGGAGGACCCTTCGCCGACGAGCAGTACCATTAACTTCCTCCTTCCTCCCCGCGGGGCGCGGGGCAGAACGCGGGAGAACTAACGAAACGAAGGAGAAATTAGGGGTACGAGAGTAAAAAAGCCGAGCGGTAACGCGGGCTGCGGGGTCTCATCCGCGGTCGGCTTTTCGCGGCAGCGGTGACCAAACAGTGCAAAACCGTGGTTTTCCCGCCGCACAGCGCAGAGGAAGCCGCGCCAAACAGAGCCTTAAGTTTCTTATTGTTTATGCTTTAATAAATAATGGTTATTTACTCAGTTTGATTTGTCAAACTCACTGGTTAATCTTTTATATAGCAAGTTTTACCGAATTCCCCAGAGGGCCATCTCCGCAAGAGCGGATATTTCAATTTTAGATTTAATTTTATGTATTCTCAATATTTGTATTAGTTCTTGTATTTCTCTTTTTGATTTTGGGCAGTTATCCATTTATACTTCAGTTTCTTTTCAATTATTTTCTTATTTTTCTTCAGTTGTATAACTCTTATTTACGAAGTGCAATAAAATTTATATTTCTTTGTCCGTTTGAGCTATTGTTTATACATAATATTTTCGTATATGAATATTAAACATGTTTATATTATTTTATCATGCACTGTCTTGTCGAGTTGTATCGTCTTTCAGACCCGAGATGTAACACTTATATCTAGGATAGTGGAATTATCAGATCTTGATCAGGTTCATTATTGTTCATGTCATCATCTGCTTTAGTTGGGAGGTGATAATTTTTATAATGTAAAATCAAATTATTGCTGTTATATGTTAAGCATTTAATACCTTACAACTAACCTTAATAATAAAAAAAAAATTCTCATCCCCTGAATAGATGATTAACTATAGGACCTTGCACCAACTAGGAAGAAAATCATCAAATCTTCTCAAAATGAGGATGAAATTTCTTGGTAGTATATCATCTAAAAATCGAACTTGTCTTCTGAAAATTTATTCCAAAACCATAAACTCTCACATGCAATAGGTTGAGAGCTAATTTTCTGTAGATTCTTTGAGTTAATTTTTGCTGTGTATGATTTGGTTGAGTTTCAATTAAATTTAGAGTTTCATATCACATTATTATGAGATAAGTAACTTTTATTTATTAAAGGATAAACATACCAATCTTTATATGATATTAAAAAAAGGATCAATGATTTCATGCTAATTTTGGCAAGCCATTTAAGAAATGGAAGTGGTTCTACTTTGCTTGCATTCACCTTGTTCATCTTTGGAGTGGCCTGCTAAAGGTACGTGGAGGGTGATTTGTTACTTGTAAATCAAGAGGATTGGCAGGACATGTCATGAATGGCAGGCGGAATGTTCTTATGAATTCACGTCTAGTGAAATTGTGAGTATGGCATGCCTTCAGTTTGTGGATGCTAATAGGCCTTTGTCTTCTTGCAATCTTTTTCTCATGCCATGCAACTGAGCAATATTTAGTCCGCAAATGCTTCATTATTCTTCTGATCAGAAGTACCACTTGATTACTTCTATTTTTCGTGGACAAAAACAAATGCGATCCTTCAGTTTTTAGTTGTATTAGTTTTTTTCCTCTATAAAAAAATCAGTTTCTTTAAGAAAATTTTTCCATTCAAAGCACATAATAATTAATTCAAAACCATATTAGTCGTAGTTTTAAGTTCTAATTTTTGCCTTGTTTTTGTGGGTTAGTGCATTCTTGTATGTTCATATTTTAAATGGCTTCAAATTTGTTCATTGTTAGGACTTGCAAACATATATTTTCCCATGTTTTTTTGTAGTTATTATACTTGCCCTTTCCAATATATTTATTTGGCTTATAGTTTGAAATGAAGTGCAAGTTTTATTCTCATTTTTTTGATAAAATTTATTCATTTATCCACACTGTGGAGAAATTTTCTTATTAGGAGCTCCTCATCAGATTTTTTTGACAACTACGCTTAGAATTCGAAATGGAGTATAATCTAGAAGATATTGATATAAAAATTACTACATTTTTTATTTTTTGTTCTATAACCACAAGTCAGTTTTAGATAAATAAAAAAAGTCATTTTCCTTGTAAGATAAAATTTGATTGTCTTGCTCTCATGATCATTTTACTTAATGAGCTGCTCCAAGTCCTATTCTATTTATTTTCTAAAACAGCGCATTACGTTTCAATCAAACTAAAATTTCTCTCAATCCCTTTCATCTCATTGTGAAGCCTTGAAGGGAAAGTTGCTCTTGTAACTGGTGGAGCTTCTGGCATTGGAGAAACCATCGTTCGACTCTTCTTAAGCCACGGAGCCAAAGTTTGTATCGCTGACATTCAGGATGAGGCAGGTCTCAACCTCTGTGAATCTCTCGGCGGGGACCAACTTGTCTCCTTCCTCCACTGTGATGTCACCGTCGAAGATGACGTACAAAATGCCGTTAACTTCGTCGCTGAGAAATATGGCACCATCGACATCATGGTGAACAATGCCGGTGTTTCTGGAAACCGAGTTACCGACATTCGAAACGTAACATTTGATGAGTTTAAGAGTGTGTTTGATGTGAATGTTAATGGTGTTTTTCTAGGTATGAAGCACGCCGCAAGCGTAATGATTCCTCAAGGTAAAGGCTCCATTATCTCTTTGGCCAGCGTTTCGAGCATTTTAGGTGGTTTTGGCTCCCATAGCTACACAGGCTCTAAGCATGCAGTCTTAGGACTCACCAAGAGTGTGGCAGCCGAGCTGGGAAAGAATGGCATACGTGTGAATTGTGTTTCTCCTTACGCAGTTCCCACGAAGCTCTCATTGGCTCATTTACCCGAGGAAGAGAGGACTGAGGAGGCTGTAAAGAGTTTTCTTTCTTTTGTGGGCCGTAATGGCAATCTAAAGGGTGTAGATTTGATGGCGGAGGATGTGGCGTATGCTGTGCTTTACCTGGCATCTGATGAATCCAAATACATCAGTGGGCTAAATCTTACTGTTGATGGAGGCATTACATGCGTTAACACTTCTCTTCGACCCTTTGGTTAATCTCGAGGTTGTCAAAAAAAGATAAGTACGTTCTGAACTCTTATTATTTTGGCAAATATGGCATTTAATTTTTAATAATTGGTTGCTGGATTCAATGCGTGTTGTTTGTTACATACACCAGGTGATGATAAACTTCTCTTTGTTGCTTAATGGTAATCCATCAGTTCAAGAATTTCAAATTTGTATTAATGGCTTGCTAAAGATTGTTTGGAATGAATGAAATTGATGTCGTCTTTGTTCTTTCATGGTCAAGGCTCTTTGACTTCTTGAGTAGGATCACAGTATATCATGTATATAAGTTGTAGGAACATGATATCGCATCCATCTATATGTCAACTCATTTATGTTGTGGAATGCCTTCTCATTACATGTTATGTGTGGGTATTTTTATAGAATTACTATTGGCATCATATGAAGGGATGTAGTATCATGGGCACACCATCTAATTCATGTCAAAAGTATATGCATTCCATACATTATATGATAAATCATCAATCATATGCGCCGTCACTAGTTACATGGAGAATCGTCCATATAGAATATAGATCATAAGTATCACGTGGACTCTTCCATCATAAATTGAAGGGAGCATCCATATATCTTATAGCATCATTGCCATTTCTATTTATAAGATTAAGTGTACATCGTGGCCATTTCTATTTATAAGATTAAGCGTACATCATTATTGGTAGTGCTGGAAAACATGCGTGTCATTTTCCCATAAATATATCATGATGCATGATATGTATGTTATGTAACTTGTGGAATCATGAAGGAATGATCAAATCGTGTAATGTTCAGTTTAAACAATCTCTATATTATCTTTATTTCCCGTATGATAATTCTGAACTACATTCTAGTGATTGTTAGCTTTGCTCACATTCAACTCAGATCTAAAATATTGTGATTTGGAATTTGTTTTTCTTATACATTGTGCCAGTGTTTTTAATCTTTGCTAAAATTTAATGGGAGAACTTACAAACTCTGTCCTATAAAAATTATCTATGAACTCTTATGTGATCATTCTAGAATAGGCACTATTTTTTTTTTTTGTCTAGGTAGGCTCTTAAACCAACTTATTGTAATAGTAATTGTGAAGATTTTTTCATGCATTAGTTGCTGATAGATCTGATCAAATTTGTCGAGCCTCAAAAGTTGGCAGTTGGTGAGAAAGGATGAGAAGCTTTAGTTAGACTGTCGTTCGCCTCACCCTTTCACTATCAAGAGATTGCAATACAGAGAATCTATATGGTGGAGTTTGGTTTGTTGAAGAAGTAATATAGTGTAAAAGAAACGTAGTGCAAGTAAAATATAGCGTATTTGAAAAATTTTGAAGTTATTTTTAGTGTAAAATAATGGCAGTAGTTTGATTTTTTATGTTTAGTTTGAAGAAAAATGAAACTAATGTAAAACATGTTGGGTGATGACAATAGAGTTGATTAGTGGTAGCGGGAGGGCCGCGGTTGTGATAGGTTGCAATTTATAGTGTTGTTTGGAAATCACTTGAATCTAAAGAATTCAAAAATACATCAGTTTTTTAAATGTTATGCTTCAATGGCAAAATTATGAATAATCCTTCATTTGGTTTACTTTACACAAAACATACAAGGAATCAACCAACCCATATGTGAAAATATAAATAAGTTTTTGGGATAAATTGTGATTAGATTTTGATCATTAAACTATATAAAAATGATGTTTTCAAAAGTGTTAATAAGCTAAAATTATATATGTTTAAGTAGAGGTTCTTAAGAATGTATATGTTTTATTAGCTGGGTTGCACAAAATTTCCTTCATTCTTATGTATGCCAATTATGCGAGCAATGCTAGTAGTATAACTGCAATAAAGTATACTTGATCTACTATGTTAAAGTAGCATTTCATACGCACTACCTATACATAGAAAAAGTGCCATCACGAATCACGACGTCACATCACGAACAATGAAGGTAGTGGAGCGGGCTCATGTGAGCCACCGTGGACGGCCCGAGAGTGTATGTTCAGCCAATCAGTTTTCTTTATCGTAAAGGCAGGGTGTCTCTTACAGATAGAGGAGAATTACTTTTGAGGGACCTGGTGGGTCAAGCCCGTGCAGATAAATCCATCACCTCCCAATTCACATTAAATCGGAAAAAGGAAACGAGTCTTTCAACCCGAGATGACTAGTGTGGGCTCTTGACAAATTGGATTTTAGGCAAATAACCACCCTGCCACGAGATTCTCTAGCTCTGCAGCTACCAAGTCCGAAAGGACGCCGATTGAATCCACTGGCGGGCCTCGCAAGTCAAATTTATGATCAGACTAGGGTACCCCGCCATACGTAGGTATTTTAGGGGTACAAAATGTAAATATGGGCTGACAACTCTTTATAAATGGGGAGTCCATCTTTTGAATAAAAAAAAAGGGTGACACAATTTTATTGTGGATTACTGTTCTCTCTCTAGATTTCAAGCCCTCTATTCTTTAGTGTGCCCTGGATAGATTTAGATTCAACATCCTGAAAGGTGCAGTGAGTGTGGAGTTATGCCGTCAACAAGAAGAGGAGCACATAGATTCCATAGAGAAGGGAGTGGCCAAAGAATTGTAGGTAACATAAAATCCTCAGGGGACAACATCGAGGAATACATGCACAAAGGAATGTAAGAGATAAGGACCCAAATCATGGAGCAGGTGATGGGCTAGATTTTTGAGGTCTTAAGAGCCATCGCGACCCTAGCAGGAGACCAAACTTCGCAGGAATAGGACCGACCTCAGGGGCATCGCCAGTGCACAATGGTCGAAAGGCGAACCCAGGCTTGGAGGGAGCCGACGACTCCCAATACCAAGACAACACGAGATTTGCACAGGTAGAGAAGCAACGTGTAGGACGCACCAAAACACTACGAAAACTAGAGAATGTTTTGTCCCTCCAAATATTTGGGGCGTAACCTCCAGAAAAATTCAAGTTGTCGGCTTTGGAAACCTACAGGAGGCAGACCCCAACGACCATATCGTTGTATTCGAGTCGGTCATGTGCGTACTCAAAATCTCAGACACGTTTAAGTGTCTTATGTTCTTTACCACCTTGAGGTCTTCACCCTTAAAGTGGTTCCACGAACTTCCAGCCGGAAGTATCAACAACTTTGTTGATTTCAAGAGGCTATTCTTGGCACAATTCGCCAGCGTCCGGAGGCCCACCAAGAGCATTTAGTCCTTATAGTAGCTCAGGCAAGGAGGGCACGCTTCCAGAGAGAGTTGTTGGAGGTAAAAGATCTCAAAGTCGTCGTGATCTTGGCCACCTTAAAGCAAGACCTACGATTCGAGAGGTTCTTCTACGACCTCAGTATCAAAGAAACCCAGGACTTGTCGGAGCTATTGGAGAGAGCCAACAAGCACGTGTTGACGGAAGAAAGCAACCCCAAGCGGGAACCAGAAGGCCGCCCCACCAAGAAGAAATCCCTAATTGGGGTGGAACCGAGAAGAAGAGAGGAACATAGACCACTCATCCAACGTCATTTCGAAGAAGGCCAGCCCTTTTGAAATAATGGAGGAACGAGACGGTACTAGCAACACATTGGACCGATGAGAAATCAAAACCTCGGCTAACCCGATACTACGAAAGGCCGACGCAACATTGCCAACAACCATACAGATATTGTGAGGGCATACAAGCTACCTCCTTAAGGGTGTCAATGACAGAAATTGTGGACGTCATCCAAGACAAATAATACTTAAAGAGGCAACACTGATGAGAGCCAGAGATTTCCTCCAAGCCGCAAAAAGTATTGCTAGAACCATTGGGATTGCGACCACGACACGGAGGAATGTAGACACCTTTAGAACCTTATCAAGTAGTTAATGAAGAACGAAAAACTTAATGAGTTTGTGGTTGCAGGGCATATGAGAGATAAGGCAAAGTGCCAGCGTTGATGGCTCCACCTACACTAGCCCGAACAAATGTCATCCATATCGCAGGAATAAACCCATAAATAATTTTCTTCTTTTCTTCACACTACTCCCCACCTTTTGTATCCTGTGCATGGACGGTCTTATATGAAATTTACTTTACGATTTTCTTTTTTTCAGATCGCTCACATAACATTCCATAAAAAAACTTGCAAAATAAGTAAGTTTCATGCTAATAGAAGATTCAAAACTTTCAGGTTGGGAAAATGCTTGGGGAACTGAGAGACAAGATAAGAAAGAAAGCCATAAACTCAAAAGAATAAATATAGCCAGCCGTAGTGCCAAGATCGCCCAACTGATTATCAAATGAAGATAGCCAGTTGTGGCGCCAAGATCGTTCGGTTGAGCATTACTTGAAGAGCAACCAACCATGGAGTCAAGATTGCCTGACTGAGCATCAAATAAAGACATCTAGTCGTGGCGTCAAGATCACCTGGCTGAACATTACATTAAGAACATCCAGTTGCGGCGCCAATGCTACTCAACTGAGCATGAAATGAAAACAACCAGCCACGACGTCAAGATCTCCCAGTTGAGCATGACATGAAGAACAATCAGACACGACAACAAGATCGCTTGCTAAGCATTACATGAAGAACAACTAGCCATGGTGCCAAGTTTGCTCAACTGAGCATCAAATGAAGATAGCCAGCTATGTCATCAAGATCCCCTGACTGAGCATTACATGAAGAACTACCAGCCGCAACTCCAATATTGCTCCGCTGAGCATTAAATAGAGACTGTCAGCCGAGGCATCAAGATCGTTTAGTTGAGCATTACTTGAAGAACATCCAACCACAGAGCCAAGATCTTTCGTCTGAGCATTAAATGAAGACAACCATTGGTGGCGTCAAGATCGCCCAACTTTAAATAGAGACTGTCAGCCGAGGCGCCAAGATCGTTCGGTTAAGCATTACTTGAAGAACAGCCAACCGCGGTGCTAAGATCGCTCGGCTGAGCATTACATGAAGAATATCACCCTATTGAGCATTTATTTGAAGAATAATCAACCACAATGATAAGATCGCTCGACTGAGCATCAAATGAAGACAACCAACTGTGGTGCCAATATCGTCTGACTGAGCATTACATGAAGAATAACTAATCGCAACGCGAATCTCGCTCGAGCGACCATTACTTGAAGTACAGCTAACCACAACGCCAAGATCACCTGACCGAGCATCAAATGAAGATAGTCAGCTGTGGCGCCAAGATTGTTCGGTTGAGCCTTACTTGAGAAACAACAAGTCGTGATGCTAAGATCGCCTGAGTGAGCATCAAATGACAACAACCGTGGTGC